TTTGTTTGTTTATTTGTTGTTGTTTTTTTCAAAATCTTCCCATTAAATTCTTTTAGAGTTTCATCTTATTACATCAGAGATCTACTGCAGCCTTTTTTTTTTTAATATATTGGGTCTGTATCTAATCTAGATACATGCTGCATAAACAAAATTTACTGACTTATTACTGCAGAAAAAAGAACTTCTATCAGTGAGTTCAGAACAAGAAGACTGTTTGATGATCAACAAGAATTAATAGAACTGAAGAGGCCTTTGTAGATGTTTATTAGATTATTTATTATTTATTACGTCCAGCTGTAACCAAATGTAAAGTCAATGTCTTATCCCTGTGATGTTCCAAAGACTAACAGAGTGTCTCTCTTTATCATTATTTTGTTTTCAATAGCCCTGTAGTGAAAACTGTATATAAGGTTGTGTAATGTTCCACACAATGTCTATAAGGTGTCATAGTTTACATTATGTGTGTTCTTTTTTTGAACACAAAAAGAAATCTTTGGTTACACAACTTTAACAATCACTATCACGCAAACACGCATTGTTCCCGATCTCAGTAGATTAATTCCTGATTACAGCCTCTTTATTATTCCATATATCCGGCTGAAGATAATGTGAGATATCAGAGAGGTTAGCTGCTGGATAATGAGCTGCCACTGAGGGGAACAAGGCTTTCATCAAAACAGACCTCTTACATATAAATGGCTGCGTGATGTTCCTTTCTATGAATCTTGATGGCTTATGTGGTAAAGCTGAGCAAATTGTTAGGTTGGGAAATGATTCGAGTAAATTTGTACTTACATCACTCAGCCTTGACAGGGTCTGTGTTGCTATTCCGGTTGCTCTGGAAACCCCTGCTGCCATTCCTCTCGGAGACTGTTTAAGAGTTTTAGCATGTTGCTGGAAAAACACATCGCATCTGAGACCGGTGAGGATTTTGGTGAGTCGGCCTGTAAGCATCCGAAAGACTTGGGAATTTTAGGTGTTGAGGAAAACGGACCAGTGAATGATGTAATAGGATGCTGGAGAGAAACTCATTAAGTTGTTAAGAAGTTTTCTCTGCCCAAAAGTGAGCTTTCGTCTCTTTTGGAGATTTTGGGACTAAATTATTTATAGGAATCATGCTACAGTGGTTTGGTGGAGATCAGTGTGTATGCTGACATACATTATACTGTATGCTGATGCAAGTAATCTTCTATGTATGTGTGACGCACCTGTGGCTTTTCCACATTAATAAACTAAAATACAACAATTTAAAAATGCAAATTGCTATCTTCAAATGAACTGAAAATTCTACAGTGGATCATGATTTTAAAGGTACAGCTTGAAGCCTGAATGAAAAGATTCCTTCAGTCTAGTTAAATATAAATTCAATCAATACTAATAAATACACAGTTTTATTAATCAGCCTCCTAATTTACTTCAATGAGTGAATTCATGGTAGCTTCATGACGACATTGTGTGCCTTTTCTTTTTTGTAGTGCTGATTCTTCAGTTGTCACTACATTAGAAGAAGAAAAAACACCGTCTTTATGTGCGAGTCATGGAACCAGTGTGTTTCTTGTTGTGTTGTAGAAAAAAAAGTATTTACTCGTGGATTAAGGCTTCACACTCATTACTGCTACGATGATTCAAAGGAGGAGGTGAGTCATAGCAGCACTGAAGAGTGTCCATGGAGTAGCACAAAGAAACAACAGGTAGTAGGATGACGTCTGCTGTGAAATAATTACACCAGAACACCTGCAGCTGCACCCACACACACCCACCCACACACACACACACACACACAAGGAGCATGCTACATGTTTACTGCTGTAAACACTTTCATTAAACTTACAAATATAATAGTTAACGGTCATTTGTTCCATTGAAAGCGTTAAAACAGCACGTTAGCGTCACTCACAGAGGCTGTTTTTATTCTCTAACGTGATGACCAATCAGCATGAGCCTGCAGGTCGAGAATTCCATCCATCCATCCATTTTCTATACACCGCTTAATCCTCATTAGGGTTGTGGGGGGCTGGAGCCTATCCCAGCCGACTTAGGGTGAAGGCAGGGGACACCCTGGACAGGTCGCCAGTCCATCGCAGGGCTACACTGAGAGACAGACAACCAAGCACACTCACATTCACACCTACGGACAATCCAGAATCACCAATTAACCTCAACATGTTTTTGGACTGTGTGGGAGGAAGCCGGAGAACCCGGAGAGAACCCACGCTGCACAGGTGCCAACGCAGAAAGATTCCGGTGCCCCCACCGGGACGCGAACCGGCAACCTTCTTGCTGCGGGGCAACAGTGCTACCAACTGCGCCACCCTGCAGCCCAGGTCGAGAATTCCACTGGACTAAATAGAATAACTAACACAGCAGTTCAGCAGCCGCAGCACTGTGGCCTCATTTGCTTCCATTATCCTGTTCATTGAAACACATCTCTATAAGCGTGAAGCGTTGATCAGGCTGTACGAGGTAGGACAGAAGCAATTCCTGGTGACCTCTTGCAGAAAGCTGATCATTATTATTTATACCAAATCAATGTGTGAGCAGCCGGACAAAAGGGAAGGCAGAGAGCACATCCCTCTAATCCTCTCAGACAGTGGCTCATTTCACAGAGGAAATCTGTTCTTTTCACATCCGGAGGGAAACCTATGCAGATCTATTGAGTAAACACATTGATCCTCGGCTCATTTTCTCCGTGTATCATCCGACGTGCTTGTCCTGACTGTTTTGGTGGAAGGATCAGGGCGAGATGCTTATACGGTGCAGAAAATCCATTGACAGCAGCACACTGAGTGCGCCATCTTCGGGCCGTTGCAGAGCACTGCAGCTGTGCAAATCCTGCGCAAATAGAAACACAAGCAGACAAATTACACAAAACTCAAGTGCTGGTTTATTGCATGTCTTTATTGTCCAGGTACCTTTAAATGGTAGCCATGCTAGTTAGTGAACAGAAACAGGTCCAGGATACTGAATGTGATGACTGGGCTGCTGGCTGATGACAAGTTGTACATATTTACATTTTTCTTTAAAAAAAAAAAAGAAAAAAAAAAGGCAGAACAGTGACAAACATGAACAACTTAGCAAAATAAAAATTCTCAACAAAAATATAAAGCTAGTCCCTGGTATGTATGTTCCCCATGTCTGTCTGAAAGTAGTAATAGTAGTATAGCATAGTAATAAAGGCACTCTGCTGTTTATTTTACACATTTCATTGATTTTAAATAAGGGAAGTTCACTTTCGGGGCTTTCACAGTTAAAAAAAAAAAAAAATCATAACAGAATTCATATTCTATACTTTAAAAGAATGCAAATCAAAATAACACATAATGGTGTTTAACGCCATCTTTTCCTCCAAAAATGTATAATTTAACAGGCAAAGGATCACCAGAGGCCAAAGCACTATAAATATTAAAGTTAGAAATCTAAAAAAGCAGCATCTCAAAACAAAAAAAAAAAAAACCAAAGTGCCACTTTCCTTCCACTGTGTTTCTATGCAGCAACACATACAATAACAGCACTCTGGATTCAAGGTCCGCTGGCTATTGCAACAGACTACACATTTATCATAGCACATTCCTCTCTGTGGGCTCCAGCACAAGGTTGAGGAAAGAAGAAAAAAAAAATAAGCATGGTGGCCTTGAATCTTAACGTCACTAAGATACTCCAGCTGACTTCGTGCCACAATGTTCGGTTTCCTTTTGTGCCATTCCAGTGCAAAACTGTCATTCACATTGGCAGAAAAAAATAAAAAGGAGAAAAGCAAATGTACACTGGCTGAGAAGCATTAGTAACCAAATATTCCATGTGAATGTGGGTGGTGTTTTCAAAGCCGAGCATGGCAAGATGTAGCAGAAACCTACAGGAATATAAAAAAGATTCTGCCTCCTTCGATGTTTACTATAAAAAACATGGAGCTATCAAATAAGTGCTGGCGAAAACTAGGTTTAAAGGGGCTCATTTAAGAGAATACAGACCGTCTACTTTATTTTTTTTTTTTCCTCTTTGGTGTAACGTAATCTATCGCAAATAGATCACTTGCACTAAACAATTCCTGCCAGGCACACGATGCAGCTGTGAGAAGCTAGAGAAGGCTACAGATCAAACATCGGCTCTCGGTGCAGACGATTCTTAATCCGTCGACCAACTGAGCCGCGATTAAAGGTTTAAGGTGGTACGTCTGGGGGGGAGCACAGGAATGAAAAAGAAAAAAAAGGCATTAACATATCTGCAACATTTCAGTGTCTATTATCTGTCAGCAGCTCTTGTTGATAGAATCTTTTCATAGTAGTCTGATGACATTCACTGGCCTCCTCAGTCAAAAGCTGCGACCTCCGATGAACAGGTGCATTGAAAGCACAACCTCGATTGTGCGCGTGTACAGGTTTAAAAGCTTTTTCTATTACAACTTCTAATGCCGATCTACGTACCGGAGCCCGAACAGTGCCATTCAAGATTAATCCAAAGGGGGGAAAATCTAACTGTTTTTCAAACTTTCACTGGTTTTCATTTTTACATAATTTAGAATTCACAATCAGAATTAGTCGTTTCATTTAATCAGTTATTATTTTTTTTTACTTGACGCCTCAACAAATTATTTTATTTTTTACTTTTACAAATGTCATTTTTTTTGGATTAGCGGTGACAAAATTAGAAATCTACTTGCATAGATATTCACCTTATAATATCTAATAGCATTTTTTTTTGTTGTTGTATTATTGCATCTAATGTCTACTGTTACTCCAAAGCAATTTCTATTCTAGGTTGGGTCCATGTTGGCTACATTTACATGGTACATATAGTATAAACCAAACCAGAATAATCAGAAATAAAATGACTTGTACAGTAAACAGTAGTGCTGCTCTGTAAGAAATCCCTTTATGAAATGTATGAGGTTCAATTTATGTTAAGATTATATCAGAGAAGAACTGACTCGACTGAGTGGTGTTTTTTTTTTAAGTTTAACTTGAAAAACGGGTCAAAAAGCCTTATAGGTTTTATTTTGAAATACATTCTATGAAAAAATGACTTTAAGAGTCCTATAATAAGTACGGGTAGAGTTGTTGTTTTTGATTGCAGCGCTGCACAAGCGTTTTCTGGAAATTCACCGTTTGGTTCTGACTGCGTGTCAGTGCTAATATAACAGAATGAATGAGCAGCCTGATTGAATGCCACAAAATAAGGTCAGTGAAGTATTAAAAGCACTTAGAAGAGCAGGAACATTAGAGTCCAGAGGGGATCTTACAATGAATGAAAAAACAAACGAAACAAACAAAATCAGCCCTATAAAGGATTTGATCGTCTTCAACTGGGAGGGGAGGGAGGGGCAACACTTTTGCTTCAATACGATTGAAAATTTTAAATACTTAAATAGATATAAAATTTTGTTATCTTTTTAACACAAACTGTACATATCTGGTACCAATACATATAAAAAATTACAAGTGCGGTTACTTTAGAAATGAAACCATCTGATACATCATTATCAAAAATATGTAGCTTTAGTAGCACTTTTGTTCTTCATTTATCTAGTAAACTTTACAATGCTACATTACACTCCACTGAAGTAAATGAGGTCTTTTTTTTCCCCCCCTTCTTCTTCTAGTCCGACTTCGGTGCAGTGGTGCTGCCAAAGCTCAAAAGTCACTGACCACTGCTTCGCTCTGATTCCATCTCTGGCTCTCTCTCCTCCACTCCTCTCCATCTCGAATCACGTCCTCTTCACCATCCAATCTCTCCCCCGGCCATTGTGTGCTAGATTTCCATCCCCTTTCTTCTTCTTCAATCGACTTTTTCGACTTTCCCGATAATCTTCTCCTCAAAGATCGGCAAGACGGCATCATCTTCCCGCACCTCCTCGAACACAACCCCGCAGTCAAACTCATCGCTGACCTTCTTGAAATAATACCTAAAAAGACAAAGAATGTGGTTAACTTGATTGACGTTGGTTCTCGGCAAAGGCAACGCTTGGGTCACGACATCAGAAACCAAGTTTGAAAGGAGCTTGTTTAAAGATACGCAGCCTTACTTGGCAATAAAATACAACTGTTTTAGTAAGCAGATCATTCTGTAAATCATTGTGCCTTTATAATTGATCAAAAATTGCATTAGTGCTGCAGGAACTGTGTCCTTTTTAATTCAATTGTAATTAAGCAAAAACAATCACAAAAGCCTCAAAATCACCTACGTGAACTCCATTACATGAGTGTTAAGAGGCAACCAGAAGCACAGAGCCACCCACGCTTTCAAATTTTACTTAACTCACTTCAGTACAGCATTTATCCCCGCAGCACTAATAACACAGCAAATTGTGCATTTTGAAATCTCATACGCAAGCTAATAGCAGCATAAATCTCACCTGTAATTTCCTTTCTTTGTTAGCAGTTCTTTAAACTGGCCCAGCGTCACAACCCTCCCTTTGACAGACGTCCTGTACGGTATCAGCTCCTCGCAGAAGTAGTACGCCACTGTAATGTTCTCACACGGCTGCTTTTTATTGGCTTTATGTCTGCGGATGGAAGACAGTTTGGAAAACGTGAAGCTGTCTTACTTTTTAAAGTTATGATACATTACATACTTTCACTTATCCTAAAAGGACATGCACACAGAAAAGGAAGACTGAGGAGAATGACAGCACTTGAAACAATGCCTTTAAATTACACAATGACAGAACCAAATGAAGCAGAATGGATCAGTAGGTGCCTCAATGGCAACAGCAGAGAAAGACCGAGTCTACAGGACAAACAGGCACAAAGGGGGATATATTGTGTGAACCCAGAAAGGTGGCTTGTACACTTTGTTTTACAAAACAGGTAATGATTCTGAACATCAACATGCAGCTGCCTCCAGCAACTTACTGTCACTAGAGGCACCTAACAAATACACATCCTAAGCAAAACCTCTAACAAAATAAACTGGAAAAAATGCTCTTTACTGCATAAGTCTGTACACTAACTAGCATTTTAAACAAAATGGGTGGTCTCTAACTTCCTCTGTTACTCTGAGAGGCCCTGAATTGATGATCTTATCAGCAGCCTTTGGATTTGCCACAATGCACAATGAAATAATGCTCCCTTTAGATGTACATGTTTCTAGTATGACTTCACCAACACAAACTGGGACAATCATAAGACTGCATGTATCGCTGACAAACTACCTGACATTACTGGGTACACAAATCATGATTTAGGCCAATGCAATTAGCAAATGGCAAAAGCTGCAGTTTCAGATATACATTATGCAGCATGTTGGACTCACGGTTTACTTATTTATCTTCAATTGCTTTTTAAAATTTGATTGCAGAATGTACAAAACTTCAACACTGTTCCTCAGGTACGAATGACTGACCTGCTTTAATGTCAGAAACTGTTCACAGAAAGGACCAGTTATTGTCTTATTGAAATTATTTTACTTATTCCGATCTCCTCTGTGTAAACACAGCCTGTAGTTCAACCAAAAACTC